ACACAGCATGAAGCAGTCCTGTTAAAAGGAAGATCAGAAAAGTCTGGGACAGCTTCCCTGAAGAAGTGACGCTTGGGGTGAGACCGGAAGAATGAGTCCTAGATAACTGGGCAGAGAAAGGAGGAAGCATGTGCCAGGCAGAGGGGACAGCACATTCAGAGAGACAGAGAGAAGGCCGGCATGGCCAGAGTAGAGAGAGCAAGGGGGAGCCTGGCGAAGGACGGGGCTGCACAGGGGACTATTGAAAATATTGCCTGGGCAGGATCTGGGGTCCTGCAGCTGGTCAGGCACTGATCCTTTACTGGTTTGTGGGGAGTTCTGACAGTGTCCTGGGGAAGAAGCCAAAATGTCAGTGGACACTTGGGGTGGGGTGCTCAGGATTAGAAAGGATTTCAATATTTTAACAAACACTCTGGCCATGTGGGAGTGTCCCGTCTGACCATATGTGATTAAGATGCAGAGGCATGGTCCCAACCATGAGGACTGAGGGAGCACAGAGCGAGTTTTGCCTAAATCCTGAGATGCCACTGGGGCTGAGGAGGGCAGGTGACAGGACCACAACTGAGTTTTACAGAACTTGGAATAAGCCAAGGGGAGTAAGACACATGTCTCAACCACAGAATTTAAGTGGGAGCCAAAAATCAGTCAGTAAGATAAATATTTTCATGCAATATTTAAAAAATTTTAAAGTAATGCAAAAAACCCCCAAATTCATTGTAACAAAATACCAACATTTTCAATAAAGACAGCATCTAGCCCTGAACTTGCATGACCCAGCTTCACTTGCCTCTACCAGATCCCCACCCTGTCAGATGCTGTCTTTATGTAGATGTTCGATATTTTGTTCATCATAGATATTTTTTGCATTAATTTCGATTTTAAAAAAATATTGCATGAAAATATTATTTATCTTAATTACTGACAATTTGGGGTGTCTCCATACATTTTGGGCCTCACACAGCTCACCCTGGTTTTGAAGTGATAACTCGGGTTTGAGGTCCACAGGGGCCAGTGTGGATGTGGGGAGATTGTAAGGGTGGGATGCAGCCAGATTGTCTGAAGCAGGCGGAGGGGATGTGCAGGAGGCCTGCTGTTTGCTTCTCCTTCTGAGGATTCTGAGGAGGGGTCCAGAGGGGGATGCTGTCGGCAGCCCATCTGCACTGCTTGCCTGCAAGCCAGGCTTGTGAGCCAAGCGCCCACTTTCCTCAGCAGGGCTGCTGGGAACCATTTTCCCAGGACAGGTGGGAAGCACCTTGTGGTCTAACTCGGCTGTGCCTTGGGACCAATCTGAGGTGCTCCCACAACCCAGTGGACCCTATCTGCTCCCTTCTGGTGCCCACTCTACCCCACTCACCTCCTCGATTACAGCCCAGGTGAGCCCAGGTCCGGCTTTTGAGGTCCATACAGAGCCCGCAAGCCACACACTCCTAGACCCCATGGGCATGTGGACCTGCCCATGTAGCAGATAGTGCTCTGACCTTGAATGTAGTCTGTTTCTATGGTCCTGCAGGTGGCAGCAGGGAAGCAAACACTGGATATCCATACAGAGCCTTGAGTGCATGCTAGAGCCTTCCCATGATATGAAGTGGGACTCCTGAGTCCTGAGGATGTATGTAGGGCTGTTGTCAAGACAGGGTCAGGTCAGGAGCATGTGGGGCAGCAGGGGATTGGGGGAAGGTACTGGTTCAGATGTCAGCAGATCCAGATTCTAGTCCTGGCTGCTGGGCTACCTACTTAGCATGATCTTAGACTAATCCCTTTGCCTCTCTGAGCCTCAGTTTCCCTGTCTGTCAAATTAGGAAATTAGGCTAGAGGGACCCTAGTAATTTTGATACCTGAGTACCTGGTTTGTACTAGGCACTGTGGGTGGAGCTCAAAGAAGAGGAATTTATGGTTCTGTTCTTGAGGGTGGATCATTAAGCTGTCTGCTATAGTATTGCCATAATAATGCTGTGTGACAAACTAGCTCCAAACTCAGTCTCAGTGCCTTAACACAGAAATCAGTTATTCTCATGCTCACATTTCTGCAGGTAGATCAACTACTACTCAGCTAGGCTAGGCTGGACTCCAGGCTGGAGGCTGCAGATGGGTAAAGGTTTGTTACATATGTCTCATCCTCTGTGGGCCAGGAGCTATTCAGGCTATGTGTTCTGCTCCATGGTCACTACAGCACAAGACTGTGACCCAAACTGGACAAGCAGGTGTCAAACCTCTGCTTACTCCATGTCTAACATCCATTTGCCAAAGCAAGTCACACGGCCAGCCCCTAAATCAAGGGGTGGGGCTGTTCACTCCACCCATTGAGAAGCCATAGTAAAAGTGTGGATTTATAACAATGCTACAGGAAGTGAAGAACTGGGATCAATAATTCACTCTAGCACAGCTGGGGAAGATAGAAGTAACTCAGAAGATCTGAAAAGGTGCTGCCTCAACCTGTTTCTTAGCTGAGAGTCTTCAATTTGCCCAGTAGCACTGACATTGCTAGTCAACTCAGATTTCAAGGACATCTTGGTCATGGGAGAGATGTTGGGAACACCTGGAATTTCTCCATATTGGAGACAAAACTAGGAGGGACTCAACAGCCACCCCTAGCTGACTCTGTTATCTTTTCTAGCCTGGTTGTCAGCTCACCAGCCTGGGCTCTGTCTGTCCAGGTCATCCCATGTGTCTTCATCCTGCCAGCAGCCTTCGCATCACTGTGCAGAGCCTGGGAATGAAGCCAATGTGGAGCGTGAAGCTGAGCAAAGGTCTGGATACATTATTGGAGCCCCTAGATGCAGTCGTGCCTGAAGCCGGGACCTCTCAGTTACATAAGCCAATAAGTTCCTTTTTTGTCTTAACCCAAATTTTGAATTGAGTTTTGTGTCACTTGGAATAGCAATGGTGGGCCATGCCTAATACAAGAGCTTATCTATCTAGGATCCCACTTGGGAGAGCGGGTGGCAGGTACCTCCCACGGGTAGTGTGGTATAGAGCCCTACTCTGAGTTGTGGATAAGTTCCTTTTTTGTCTTAACCCAAATTTTGAATTGAGTTTTGTGTCACTTGGAATAGCAATAGTGGGCCATGCCTAATACAAGAGCTTATCTATCTAGGATCCCACTTGAGAGAGCGGGTGGCAGGTACCTCCCACGGGTAGTGTGGTATAGAGCCCTACTCTGAGTTGTGGTCTTTGGACTAGCAGCATGAGCATCACTTAGGAGCTTGTTAGGGATGTAGAATTTTGGACCCTTCCCCAGATCTGAAGAATCAAAACATTCATTTTAATGCATTTTAATAAGAACCCCAGGTGATTTGAATTCAAATTTGAAATACTTTGTGTTGAGGACCAAGCCTCTCCACCTGCCTGGGCCTTCTTTTGTGATTGAGTACAGTTTAACAGTTTAACTGGAATTAGGGACCAGGGTCCAAATCCTGGCTTTGTCTACTTATTAGTTCAAGGGCAATGAACATGCTCATTATTAAATATCTCTGAGCCTCAGTTTTGCCTTCAGAGAATGGGAATAATAACTAGCTACCTCCCAGGGCTTTTGAAAGCATTCGGTGTACTTAACTCATGGAAATTGCTCGGTAAACTACTGGGCAAACAGGAAGAGCTCAAAATGTGCCAGCTATGATTATTTCCGCAACTCTGCAGTGGGGCTGCTTTATGTTCAACCCACCTAATCACTTCTGATAGATCAGATGAGAGAACAGATGGAAAAACATTGTTGGAATGTGTAAATTGATGAAAAAGTAGTTATTTTTCTAAATCTTAGAAGAAAATCATTCACAAAGGTTGTTTCATCTGTATGTGGTTGGTTGGCTTTGACGTGTACTTTTGAGCAAGGGTGGGAGCCATGTATAGAGGCAAGGAGAAGTCAAGGGAGGGAGTCAGTGCTCTGAGCTGAGACTCGAAGGGACAAAAGGACCTGTATCTTCTAGGGAAAGAGCAGATCAGGGCATCTGGGCAGGAGTCCTGGCTGGAGACAGACCCCAGGGAGCCCTGGGTGGTGGGCGAGGACCTTGGGCTTTAACCAGTAGGCAGTGGACATGAAACTAATCACAGTGACACCCAAGTGACACTGGCTTCTCTGTAGCCCCTTGACCTGATGGATTACATGTCTGTTTCTCTAACTGTGTGGCTTCACATGTTGCACAAGCCTCAGAAGAGCTCCAGGTGGGCCTTGAAGGTCTGACACAGTCCAGCCCTACTGCAGGGACATGATGTAGTTTACCCATGGAGTAAGGCCTGCTGCCCTGGGAGTGGCTCCGCTTCTGCAGAGAAACAATGCCCAGCGGGAGGCCTGGTGCCCAGCCTGGTTCCTTCATGAGCAACTCTGTATGTGGTTGAGAGTTGGGTCTCAGCCCAACTGATACCATTAACGAGGTAAGAAGGGTAAGAAGGGGCTCCTGCGGGGTGCTGCCAAGGTTCCAGAATGAACTCTTCCACGTAGTACTGGGGAAGGCACACGGACCCTCTGCTCAATCCTTGGTTCCACTGTGGGGTTTCACCTCGGTGCAGGTTCCCTGGTTTTTGAGATTTGTAGGGGTAGGAAAGTGGGAAGGAATAGAAGTTTATTCTGAGGTGCGTGTGGTTTACAATTGAAGACACTGAGATTGAGAGATTGAGAAATGCACAACTCCAGCTTTGGGCATGAGGAGCATTATAATGTGATGAAGAAAATGGGCTGGAAGACAGGCAGGATGAGGTTCAGATTTCCTTCTTACCATCTATTTAGTATCTGCGAGATCCTGGGCAAATCACTTCACCTTTTTGCCTAATTTTTCTATCAAAAGTAGAAATAAATACACCCTTTGTTACAGGAGTGTTGTTGAAATGATCTATGGTAGCATAAAGTACATAGTGCTGTATGTGGGACATGGTAAAAAGTTGGTAACGATTACTGATTATTATCTCATTCAGAGTCTAATGGAATAGGGGGATGAGAACATAGGATGGTAAATTCAGGAAAGGGCTCTGCAAGGAAGAGACAATTCAGTGGAGATGAGAAGGAGCTGGAATTATAATTATTATGGAATAAGGGATTCATTACAGTTGGAACAGTAGGCAGATCCAGGAAACCCAACACCTCCAGCCACCAAGGCGAGGCCATGAGAGGAGCTCGTGGAGAAGGTGATGGGATGCTTTTGCCTCTGTGCAGCTGCCACTTCTCTGGGCCTGCAGCCACACCTGGAGGTGGGCGTTGGGCAGTTGTTGGTCAGCAAGCCCTGCGACTGGGAAGATGAGCTGGACACAGAGCAGAAGAGAGTGAGGACAAGCTGGGATGCTCCAGGTACCTCTGTGTCTGCCCATCACTATATCTGATTGCAATGACCTCCCAAGAATAGTGACAGCTGCTTCACTTCCTCCTTTCAAATCTTGTGTAAGTTCCCATTTTGGCCAACTCTATCCTCAAAGCATGCAATAGGGGGATTCCAGGAGCTACAGTTACAGTTCATCAAAGTGGACAGCACAATTATCACAATGCTGGTACACTACTTCCTAAGACAGAGGAAACATGGAGAGGAGTGAGTTTAGAGTGGGAAAAACCAAGAGTTCCATTATGGACATGTTTCATTTGAGATCCCTGTTTCATTAAGATGGCCCCGATGATCCCTGTGTCCTGCTGTTCATGACCTGTGTAATTCCCACCCCCTGGATGGGGCTGAATTTAGTGACTCACTTCTAGCAAATAGAATTCAGCAGAGGTGGTGGAGTTAGGTTAAAAAAGACCGTGCTTCTGTTTGGCTACTCTTTCTTGTTTTCTTACTCCCTTGCTCTTAGGCAAGACAGTTTCCCTGTTGATAGTTGCCTATAGAGAGGTCTTAATTGGCAGAGAACTGAAGGAGACCTCTTGCCAATAGCCTGTGAGACCCTCACTCCAACCTGCCAGGAACTGAATCCTACCAACAGCCACATGGGTGAGTTTGAAAGCAAATCTTCCCTCAGTCATACCTTCAGATGAGACCACAGCCCCAACCAGCAGCTTGACTACAACCTCATGAGAGAACTTGAGCCAGAGGCACCCACGTAGGTGGCACCCAGATTCCTGACTCACAGGAAATGTGAGATAACAAATGTTTATTGTTTTAAATGGCTTAATTTTGGGGGTGGTAACTTGTTATGCAGCAATAGATAACAAATACAGACGATTGAGTGGATATTTGTGCTTGGAAGTTAAGGGAGAAGTCAAGTGTGGAAATAATATGTTTAGGAATCATTAGTATTTGATGGCATTTAAAGCCATGGAACTTGATAAAGCTATTGAAATAGAAACAGTGGTCAGAGAAGATCAGAGTTCAGAGGAGTGAGCTTTGGGGCTCCCCAGCAGTCAAGGGTTGGCCAAAGGAGAGAGACACAGTAGAGCACATGGGCATGAAGCGGCTAAGGTGGAAGGAGGAAAAGTAGAAGGACGTGGTGTCCAGAGTCAAGAGAAGATGTGTGTCAGGGAGGGAGGGTTCAATGCTGCTGTGAGGTCAGTTAAGGGGAAGACAGGGAAGCACCCATCAGCTTTGACCACAAGGAGTTGATTGGCAACCTGGACCAGGGGAGTCTGAGTAAAACGGAAGCCCAGCTGAAAAGGACTGAGGTAGGCAGGGAGCAGAGAGGCGTTATGTGCCTTGACCATGTAGTGCGAGGCATGCCCAAAGAAATATGGACTTTGCCCTTCTATTCAATATAACCGTGTTTGCTTTCCTGTGTGGTTCTTGGCCTTGGGAGATGGGAGGCAGAAGGAGACAGAGGTTGCAGCAGGTGAAGAGTGGCCTAGGGAACAGCTGGAGCAAGTTTGGCAGCAAAGCCAGGGAGGTCAAGCAGTTTCAATCCTGTTTGGGTTGATTAGTTAAGATGGTTTCTTTGGATGGCCTGAGCTAGAGATCTACCCTTTAGCCATTCAACAAACACATGCATGGGGACTCTGCAAGGCAGTGGTGACCTGTCATTGAGGCAGACATCATCCCAAAGAGAGAGGGTTCATGGTCTGGGGGAGGCAGACATTTTAATAAGCATTATAGGACCTGTGAGTAGTGAAAGTGTAACAGAGGTACATCCTGGTAGTATGGGAGAGCGAGGGAAGGAGGGCCTGAGCTTGCCTGGGGGAGCGAATGAAAACTCCCTGGACGAGGTGGCCCTGGAGCAGAGTGAGCAGACTCACACTATGCTGGGAAGGTTATTCCAGGCCCCTTCTCGCCCCTGCCCTCCAACCCTGCCTTCTCTCCCTCCTTTTCCAGCTCTTCCCTTCCCACTCCCCCACTTCACCTCTCTCCTCCTTCCCCTGCTGCTTCTCTCCTTTCTCCTACTCCTCTCCCTTGCCCTCCCCCTCCTGCCCGCCCCCTCCTTTTCTCTCTTCTCCCTCCTCCCTTCTCCAACATGTTCCCCTGATCTTTTCTCTCCTTTCCCTGGCCTGTGATGAAAGGCCTTCCTGCCTCCCAGCTGATGAATTATGCATGAATTATGCTTCAGCGGGTGTGCCTGGCATCCAATTAGGGCCTTGGGCAGGTTGGTAACATAGACAGATTAAAATGTAATTCATTGGGGTTGACATTTAAGCCCCAGTGTGAATGGCAGAGAAGAGAAGCAATGTTCTCCCAGTGCCTTGTGCGTGGGGGCCCCTCTCAGCTGCCTGCAACTGCTTAACCGATGCCAGCTTGGGGTAGAGTTGACCTGCATACTGGGCCCTCTGGTGCACAATGGCACTGGAGAAAGGCCCAAGACAGGCTTTGAGCGAAAGCAGACTTTCTTCTTCTAAACTTTTTATTTGGAAATAATTTGAGATTTACACAAGAGTAGCGACAATAGTACAGAGAGTTCCCATACACCCTTTCCCGAGCTGTCTCTAATGTTAACATCTTATGTAACCATGGTATAATGATCAAAACTAAGAAATTAACATTGGTACAATACCATTAACTAAACTACTGACGTTTTTCAAGTTTCACTCAGTGTCCCACTAATGTCCTTTTTCTGTTTCAGGATCTAGGCCAGGATCCCACATTCCAAAGCAGCCTTTTGTCACGGTGTAAGGAACAGCAATCCCTCTCCGTACCCGAGGCCAGTGGCTCTCAAAATTGAGAGTCCAGAGAACTACCAGGGATTTTGTTTAAAGGGCATGTCCTTCCCTAGACATTCGGATTCAGTAAGTCTTGGGTAGAGCCCAAACATCTATATTTTTAACAAGCAACCCAGGGTCTGAGGGAAATCTACAGGTTGACTTGATAAAGGAACTAGGAATCAGCCTAAGTTTTGCCTGTAGTGCTGGTCAGGGCCAGCAATTCTCTGTTGGCAGCGTTACCTCTACCCATCCACCTACTGCCAGACCCTGGGGGAGGAGCGGGACTAACACGCACATCTCTCCTAAACATGTGGCTGGCCAGGGCAAAACCCCAGGTAAGCCCTGCTTGGAGAGGAGAGAACACGGCATTTACCTGATATATTTCCAGTCATAGATATATACACATTCTCACTTAATCTGCAGAAGAACACCTACCAGTAGATACTATTTTCCTCATATTATAGATGGGGAATCTGAACAAAAGTGATATTAAGTGTAGGGTTACCAGATTTAGCGAATAAAAACACAGGAGGCCCAGTTAAATTTGAACTTTGGATAATATAATATTGGGGATATAATTGTATTTTTTAAAAGTTGTTGTTAAAAGACTATGTTCTAACTGAGATAACTGGCCAGCCTCCTAATTTTTAAAAGTCCTTGTTCATCGGCAATTCAAATTTAGCTGGGCCTCCTGTATTTTATCCTGCAATCCTAATTAAGTGATACCCTGTGGTTACAGATCTAGTAATCAGGCCCAGACATGGCTCTGACTCTGATGTCACCCTTGTGCTTGTCTGCTCAATGCCTGCCTCACCTGGGGGGCCACAAGCAGCGTGAGGTGGGGACCACGTGCATTTGTCCTGCTGTGTCTCCAGGGCCTGGCACAGCACGGAATAGGTGCTTAATAAATATTTGTGATATGAATGAATGGCTAAGTGCATGCACGAATGGACTTGCTACTCTCTTTGTGCCAGGAGAGGCTGCAGATGATGGTGATTAAACAGAAGGGCCACGCTGGTGAGGGGCTAGGAGACACACTCGCTGATACGCAGGCAACAGGAGTGAGTCATGCCCGGCTGGGGGCCTCGGCCGTTGCACACTGAGCAAGGGCAAAGAGCCACCTCTTCCCGTCCTAACCCCTCAGGGCCTCTGCTTTCTCAGCTGTGAGATGGGATTGCATCTCTCCCAGCTCTAGGCTTCTGTGATTCTATGATTTATCTTCTTTAACCCCACCCTCCAGTAGGTAAAGAATATGGCCAGATTAGAGGGTTGGCTGCCGACTCCTACATATTTCCTTCCCAGCTCGCTATTTCTTCTCTCTCCTCTTCCTCCTCCTCCATGACAATTTTCTGAGCACCCCCTTGGTGCCTGGCCTTATGTTTTTTTTTTTCCTTGAATGCTCCCCTCCACCCTGGCAGACGAAATCAGAAGCCCAGAGAGACCTGGCCCAGCACCGTTCCTCGCAGACAAGGAAAGATGTTGAGAGCGTACTGTATCTTTTAAAATAGACCTGTTTTCGTCGGAATGTATTTTTAGCCGTGGGAGAGACTGGCGTGCTCTCAGTGCCACCATCTGCCAAAGGCAGTTGCTAGGCAACTGACACTGACGACAGCGAGGGGATGACTTCACGGAGGATCTGGGGACCCTGGTGGCCCAATCTCTCTTCACTGTCTAATTCCTACATGCCAACAGTCAGGCCCAAGAGAACAAACATTCCTCTCCTTCCAGGAGAGGCTGGAGAATTGATTCAAGGTCTGTGAGCTGATCACAGAGGATGCTGCACAGATAACAAGGGACACTGGGCCATTACTGTCACCTTGATTGGTAGATTTTCTATTTAGAAACTTTACATGCTGCTGTGGGTTAAGGCTGGGCTCTGGACTCAGTATACCCAAAGAATCCACGTCCCTCTCCCTGGCAGCCGCATAGGCACTAGCCTGAGTCGGGGCAGGAGCTGTTTGGAGGTCGTCAGCACAGGGGAAGCTTCCTGGAGGAAGCGGTAGGCAGGTGGCCAGGATCCCTGGGTTCTGACCCAGTCTGCCTTTTGCTTTCTGTGTGAATTGAGTGAGTCTTTGCCCTTCTCTGGCCTCCAATTTTGTCACCTTCAGAGGAAGATATCTAATCAGATAGAATGCATTTATGGGGATAAAAAGCAGAATAACCAGAGTAGAAAAATCCACAAGCCAGACCTGGGTTTAGATCCTGACCTTGCCCCTTACTGCTCATGGGTGACATCGGGCAAGGTACTGCACTTCTCAGTGACTCAGTTTCTTTTTCTGTAAATAACAGTAGTAACACTCTCATTGTGTTGAGAGAATTTAGCAAAGCAGCACATGGAAGCTATGCACCTCGGTTGTGGCATATTTTGGAGCCCAGTAAGTGGGAAGGTGTTACTCAGGTTTCGTGGCAGAGATGGCTGGTGTCCACCACCATCGTTTCTTCTCATCCCTATTAATAGACATTGAGCTGGACATGTTTGCAGCTGCCCTTGCAGCTAAATTCTCACCAAAGATACGTGAAAGAAAGGAATGGGCGCAGCTTCTACCTCACTCACTCATAGGAAAATTGCTTCCCTAGATGCTTCCTCTCTTTTCCTTCCTGTAAGCCTGGGCGTGGATATGCTGGGGTCTCCACTTTGACAATGCAGAGCAGGAAGACATGCTGGGGTGGGGTGGGGGTGGCAGGGCAACAGGAGGGAAGAAACTTGGGGCTGTCTTGTCTTAGCAAAGTCCCCCATGTTAAAAAGGGGACTGATGCATGTGGCTGGCACAGGAGGGCATGAGCACCGGCAGGTGAATGGGGAGGTGACAAAGGGATAGGAAGGCAGCCAATACACAGTGTGTAATCAAGCCAGCTCCCACAGTGGGTGACTAGGACTTGATTCTACAGGGAAGCTCTGGGAAATAGGGTAAAAGCCTCAGGGCTGGCTGAGGGGCGAGGGAGCCAGTGCAGTTTACCCTGGCACCCATCAGTCCCTGGGGGACCTCCAGTCTTCCATATGCCTGTGGCCAGAGTGAATGCCAGCGGCCCTCTGGCAAAGATGCAGGTGCTGGCCACTGAAGCTGGGCTGGTGGGTTTAGAAAGGTAAGGGGCTCTGAGAGAACGTGAGCACAGCACTGGCAGCATCCACCATGGTTCTGCCAAAAGAGAAGTAAACCTCTGCGTTCTCCAAGCCACGATATATTGCAGATTCTCTGCAGCTTAACTTTCTGTCTAATTTAATTTCCAAGTGCTATGCATAGGGAGGTTTGGTCTTATTTAATCACTCTGAGCCCCTGTACTCCATGAGATACTCATGTAGGTAATGTTGTGGTTGGGGAAACAAGGTTGATGCTGTGCAGCAGAACTGTCTCAACAGAGAATGCAAGCACATGGTTAATGGTATCTCTGGGGCTTGGGTAGTAAGTGGTGTAGACCCTCAGAGAGGGGGCAGATGAGTGTGGACTGGCATAGCCAGAGAAGGCTTCCTGGAGGAGGTGGACGGAAGCTAGGCTTTATCTGCTGGGGAGGACTTGGAGAGCTGGGGTTGAGAGCATCCTTGCTAAGCCATAGGATAGTGTCAGGTGTGGGGTGAGTGGGTACTTTGGCTCATTTGATTGCAGGGTGGTCTCAGGTGAGTGGATGCTGGATTTGCCTGCATTATGCATTTAGAGGAGTGGGGTGCAGGATGCTTCTTAGCTGGAAATGACCTGGAGAAGGGGGTGCAATCACAGGTCACATCACCATTGCTCCTTGTATTCTGAGGTGGGGAAGCTAGTAGTAGGTGCGCCTTGTCACATACATCTGATGCTGCCAGTGTCCAGGTGGCATGTCAGGGCTTACAGAGGCTGGGGCCTGCCAGCAGTCAGGGAGCAGAAGCAAGTGTCCTGTAGTGGATTTGGGGACTGGATGTCCCTCCCAGACTGGGCACTTATGCAGGCAAGTGTCCAACAGTCTCAGAAGACAGTAAGCTCTCAAACTGATTTGGAAAGCAGGCAGGGCTGAGGGCCCTTAGAGATCATCTGGCTTGGTCTGCTTATTTTGAGGATAGTGGCATTGAGCCCAGAAGGGAACGTACTTGCCCAAGGCCAGCAGAGGTAACCAGAATCTAGATTTCCTGACTTCCCCAGGTGGCTGGTGCAATCAATATGAAAATAGGTGGGGCTGCAGGCCTCAAATCCACTGCTCTCCACCTGTGGGCCATTTGTCCCATCCTTGGACTCATTCATGGCAGCTCAGAACTGGAGCAGAACTCAAGAGCTGATATGATCAGGTTCCTCCACCTCCAGGTGTGTGTGTATCCTCAACTCACAGCAGTCAGATACCTTTCCCTTTCCTTCAGATACCTACAGTGCCTCTCTTCTACCTGTCCATGTTCTAACCTAATGATCTACCAGTTCTCCCTAGTGTCCAGTTGCAGTCATTCCTGCTTTACTTTTGGTTTGATTTATTTTCACCTCTAGGCACAAGTTGGTTATGCTGGTGAATGTAAGGAGTGGGTTGAAATTATTAAATTCACTTTCATCTTCATTTTCTGTCCTATTTCAATGAGAAAGGGAGTTCAGGGAAGACTCCAGCCCTCCGCCACTCCCTATACCCCCCTCCAGCAAATTGAGGACAAGTGGAAAGGAACGAGGCAGTTCACCCAGGCTTCCAGATGCCCAGTCACCTCCAGCTCTGGAGGGAAGGGTGGAGTGCAGTGTCTCTCAGAGGTGAGGAGACTATACAGCTCTGACCCTACCCTAGGTGAGTCAAAATTGCCCTTTGCAAATCCCATTGCCTCGCCACTCCTCGTGTCTGTAAATGTGGAGCATTTGTTCCCTGTTCTACATTCTTTTTGCATTTCATTCTCTTTGGGAATATATGAGCAGCTTCCTTTTTTCTCTTTGGGAAATTTGTGTCTGGAATGGAGAGAAGGGAGGAGAAGGGGTGCAGCCTTTAGCCCCCAAGAGATAAGGGGAGCCCCTCTGGAGCTGGTGCTAAGTGACCATGCCCAGTGGAGGTGGGGAAGTAGAGAGGTCTCCACCGGGCACCCCATCTATTTGGGGAATCAGACCTACAAGTCGAGGTGCTTGTGGCCAATATAAGATGTTCTAAACTGTGGAGGTCGGGGCTCACCCTGAGTATACAGGTATCCAGAAGGGAAAGATCAGTGTGGACTATAGTAGTTAGAAGGGATACTATGGAACAAGTAATCTACAACGGGATACTGACAGGTAAGATTTGGGAAGGATGAGAAGAGCAGGAACAGGAGGCTCCAGTGGCCCAGGGGGAACAGTGAAGAAAGCGGAGCCCCCAAGCAGTGCAGGGGTAGGAACAAAGCTGGAGAGGTAGGCTACTTTTAGGGGTGTATGGGTAGAGACTGGGGGAGGGGCAAGTCGGTAAAGAACCAATCAGAGCAGAGGAAGGAGCAGACAGTTGTCCAAAGCCAAGCCCAGACAGGAGGCCAATAAGTGGGCACCAGCCTCTGACCACCTGGGAAGGCTTCATGGGACAGTAGAATGTCTATGTCCATTTTCCAAGACTTGTTTGGGAGATGGACTAGATGGAGATGGAAGGAGCCAGTGAGTGGGGCAGAAAGAGGGGAGATGGGCCCTTTCTTGTGGAGTAGGTCTGTGATGTTTCTCAAATCTCAGGAGCCCTGGAGATTTCCTCATGAATCCCTTCAGCAAGTGTGCCCAGCAGGAACATGAGGGGGGACAGGGACAGGGGCCTGATGGTGAGGGAACTTGTCCTGTCAGGTTGAGCTTGTCTCTCCTCGTCTCTCCCCATCCTCCCCCAAGAAGCCCTGGGATGAGCTCACCTGAGAGTAACGGGGGTGAAAGCACTT